GCAAGTGGACAGTGATTTGAGCTTCAAGTGGAAGAGGAGCCCCTTCTCCAGGGACCATAGGGAGCAGCAGCTAACGAAGGGAGCCTGACCCTGCCCTGAAGAGTGAACACAGGGTAAACTGGAGGCTGTGAAAAGGATGGTGGCTGGGAGAACTGGCTGAGCACTTTTAAACCTTGATGTGTCAATAATCAATATCTCAAACTTCCCTCACTTTCTGGTGAAATCTGGTTTAAAGAAAGTAAAATCTGTCTGCAGCAGCTTTCGCCACCTCAGACACTCAGGCCCTGCTCTCATGGCATCAGGCCACTCTGCCCCCAGAGTCCCTCCTGCAGCCTGAGGCAGCTCTCAGGAACCTGGCCAAGAGCATGTCCTACTGACCCGGCTCCTGAGCTGTTTTCTGTGTTGTGGAGATGCATTCTTCAGCCCTTGGATACACACCTGTTCCTATACTTGGGTATTGTTTTTATAGGCTGTTCTTTCCCCTGCAGCTTCTGAGAAGTAGGTCAAGGTACCAGCTTTAAGGGAGAAGTGCCAGGGGTTCAAGTCACCAGGCCTGGAGTCAGGAATCCTGAGTTCTATTTCAGTCTTAACAGCTACATGACAATCTCAAGGGCCCATTCTTCCCTCTGATTCCCCCTCAGCCCTTCATTAGGTCTCATGATTTTTAACCCTGAAGCTGGATTCCCTGAGGCTGTCATTTTCTTCCCTCTTCCCTCCCTCTGGAAGGCCCTTTAAAGCTGTTGACTGCTCCAGGCTGGTGTCCCAAGCAAGAGCTGCTGCAGTTGTGTGGCTGATGGGGAGATTAGAGGCTTTTAGAGCTGGTGGGCTGTTTGAGGTTGGAGCATCAGGAAGCCAGACTCCAGGGCTAAAGGACAGGCTGGCTTGTGGAGCCTGGGATGCAAGTGAGGGTCCTGGGTTTTAGCCAATGGTTGTAGATTGCTTCCTGCTTCTAAGCCTACCTTCCTCTGTAATGCAGGGAAATTCAGCCTCTGGTTCGAAAGGAAACTCGGGGAATTGTGGTGCTTGCTCACAGCACAGGGGATCATTTGAGCTGTTGCAACAAAGGACATTGTTCAGAGTGACTGTGTTAACCAGGGCAAGCTTAGGCCAAAGAATAATAACCTTTCCTGAGGCATAGTTCCTCTGGCCTGACCCAAACAGTCCCAGGAAGGCCCCCCCTCCAGCTCTGAAGTTAGCCAATGCCACAGGGGGCCCATCACTGATGGCCTAGGAAAGGGGTGGAAATTAGAACACCTGCTTTGATCTGGATAGCCTGAGATGCTCTCTAATCTCTTCCCTCCAAACCCATGTAGCGGCAGAGTGAAATACAGGTGAGGAAGAGGAGCAAATGCAGGCAAAGCAAGGGAAGGGGGAATTGTGCTTTAGACCACTCTAGGAATCGTTAGGAAGAGCAGGTCAATTTAAAGTGCAGTGGTTATTTCAGGCATCATGGTGTGGTGGTAAGAAATGGGTCTTGGGGAGAGTTTCCTGGGCTTGCGTTCCTGCTCACTTTCTAGACTCCCGATTACTATGGAGGAGGCCCATAGAAGAAGCAGAGTAGAGGTTTGTGAAGAAAAAAACCATTCAAGATGAGCTTTGAAGAATGGGTAGGATTTCTTGATGTGGAGATAATGTAAATAATTCCAGCCAGAGAGGAGGGTATAGCTCAGTGCTAGAGTGTGTGTCTAGTTCCTGGGTAGAACCCCCAGCACCTCCATCAAAAAATAAACATAATTACCTCCACCCACCAAAAATTTTTTTTAAATAATAATAATTCCAGCCAGAGGAAATACAATTTGCAAAGTCAGGAAGGTAGAGGGTAGAGAGTATGTAGGGCACAGCCGGGGGGCCCGGAAATGAATTCCATTTCATTTACTAGAGAGTTCTCCCACCCCGCTGAACCTCCATTTCCCAGCTGTAAAATGGGAATATTAGTACGGCCTTGCAAGGCCGCTGGGAGCGCTGCATCAGACAACCTGTGTAAGGTGCTAGCACAGATCCTGCGGCTCAGTGGGCATGCACTAAATGTTATTTCTTCTCCACTTTTCTTTCTGTCATAGCCATCCCATGTTTTGGATTTCTGCAGATAAAGTAAGAACCCAGTTAGGGTGGGAATCCTAATTCTGACTTTCCCTCCTTTCCCTAGTTCTCCTAAATAGCTGATATCTGCTTGGCATTTTTCCATGGGTGCACTATTCTGGATATTGGGGCCCTTGGGTTGTACTCTTTTGTTTTAAACTGTGAGCCAGAAGATTGTGTTCCCCTCAAGTCTCAGCTTCCTCATGTGTGAGTAATAGCACTCCCTGGACTTATACAGTACCACTTCCTGCACATATTTTATCTAAACATCTCAACTAGACCTCAAAGAAGCTGGGTCTGGGTCAGATTCCTTCACCACTGAATGTATAGTCCCGGGGGGCTAGAATCTTTGGGCCAAAGCACCTATGGCAAAGGATGCAGACTGGCCAGAGTGACCCCATCCCGGTGCCCTTAGGGACCATATGCCAATGGTGGAGGGGGAGAAAAACTCCAGATCTGGTTCAGTCATAAGGATCCAGAAGCACCCTTGCAAAGGATGGCACTAACTAAAGCTGCCAGATAAAACATGGGCTGAATCTGAATTTCAGCTAAACAAAAAAATTTTTAGTATAATATGGGACACACACTCAAAATTATGCTTTATTTATTCAAAATTCAAATTTAATTGGTCATTCTATATTTTTATTTGCTAAATCTGGCAGCCCTAGATTTAACAGGAAAGCCTTTGGATTGGGTGCTCAAGACCCTCTCAACATGGCCCCAGACTATGTTCCCAGCTTCCCTTCCTATTTCTGCTCCCTGTCCTCAACCCTATTCCAGCCAGATAAGACTCCATCCTCTACCATTCTGACCGTAGCAAATTGTATTCCCTCTGGCTGGAATTATTCATGTTATCTTCACATCTAGAAATCCTGCCCATTCTTCAAAACCCATTTTGAATGATTTTCCTTCATGAAGCTCTACTCTGCCTCTTCTATGGGCCTCCACCATAGTAATTATCAAACGTTATTGTAGTTTTTGCATGTCTCCCCTCTCCTGAGCATCTTCCACAGGTCTAGCACATAGTATGAAGAGAGCAGTAAATATTTGATAAAAAGAATGAATTAGCCTATCAGCTCTCTGAAGGTCTAAACAGAGGTCTGTGCTTCTCATGCACAATTCACCATATTCTTCCTTGTCATGCAATGTTTTTATTAGTATTTGTCTTGTACTCCCTCCTAGAGATTTCTGTGAAGACAGACACTACATTTCCCACTGTGCTGCAGACTGCAGTGTTTAATGAGTATATTTTGTGTTTCACAGAGTGTTGGGGTAGGGATATCTCTAGGTGTCCAGACCAAATTAGACTCCAAATTCACCCCGCTGCCCTGATTCAAGGGCAAAAGTGACTCTCAGTAAATCTCAAAGTCCCCTGACCTGGTCCTAGAACTGGAGAGTAGAAAGCAGAGACTCTTTGTATGTCATCCGAGGGTACAGGCTACATATGAGCTCCAGAAACCTTCCCAGAGTTTTCCATGGGGCCTCTAGGACTTGTATGTCTGCTAAGAGAGGTAAAGGGTTAAAGGAAAAGGAACAAAAGGAACCTCAAGGGAGCGGGAAGAGCTGGTGAAGCCAGAGAGAAATGGGAAACTTGGGTTTGGGGTACAACAGAAAAGAGTACTGATCTGAAAGTCCAGCATTCTCTCTTTGGCTCTGTCCCTGCCTTGGGTGAGGAAGGAAAGAAAATAAATACACTGAATGCCCACTGTGTACTTTCATATAGGTTTTACATAAATTTCCCAACAGTCCTGCAGGAAGCTGAGGTTCAGAGAGGGAGATGACTGGCCTATAGACACACAGCTCAGTGTATCTAAGGAAAAAGAACATAAATTAACCTCTCACAGCCTCAGTTTTCTCTTCATTAAAATGGGAGACATTACACCATCTTTAAGGTTCTCCTCTCCCCAACTTCTACTAGTAGAATATTTTGAGGACAAAACCCCTCAATCATGGGCCAAGGAAGAAACTAAGGAATAGATGTTGAAAGCACAGGTAAATGTGTGAAATGTAGAGTCTGAGTGAGACGCCTTAGAGAAGCTCAGAGCTGGGCTAGAAGATGTCTTCAGGCGTGAGCCTTCTGTCCATCTGTGTCTGTTTGTCACACGGTCACAGAAGGTGAAGTCGGCCCTGGGGCACCGGTAGAGAGGATTCTGGCTGCAAAGCTTGTGATTTGCCCTTGTGAATCTGGGAGAAGAAAAGCAAGCTGACTTCCTGCAGCGCTTGAGGGGTGGGAAGGGCTGCGTTTCCTGCGTACCTGACTCAGGGAGGACGCGCTTTGGTAGCCGGCACTTGGCCAAGAGTGACAGGGAGGGCCACAACTGAGCGCTTAATTAGGGAAGGGGGTTATTAAGGAGGCCAAGGGAGAGCGGAGGGTTATTCCCCCAATTCCTCTTCCTGGCGCCCCCTGGCTCAACCAACGCATCCTGGATAAATCTGGGGGAGTGGGTACCTCCGCAGATTTCAGTGTCCCTTCCGACTCTCGGGGCCCACGGGTTATGGGAGATCTCAGCTGCGGGCCTGAGCGTTCCAACCGGAGCAGGGAGTTCGGGTGGATCACTTCCCCCGGGGGACGTTGAGGTTGGAAAACGCGCCACCCAGCACCTAGGGGTGAAAGCCTGAGAAGAGCGCATCTAGAGATTTGGGTTTACCCGAGGTGGGGAAGTGCTGGGGGGCGAGGTTGGGCGCGGCGGGACGTGGGCGGGGCGGCCAGGCAGTGGCCGAGCCCCGGGGGGAGGGACCTTAATTAGCATAGTCACCGCCCCTCTCGGCGGAGCCCTGCCCAGAAACCCGAGCGGAGGCCGGCCGCGCTCAGCCCGGGCTGCTGAATGGGCGCGCGGCTCCCGGCTCCGGCCCTCCCGCGTCCAGCCCGTGTTCCAGCTCCCGCTCCCGCCCAGCCCGGGC